AGTGTTGTATTGTGACGGAGGGTGTTGTATTGTGACGGAGGGTGTTGTATTGAGACGGAGGGTGTTGTATTGTGACGGAGAGTGTTGTATTGTGACGGAGGGTGTTGTATTGTGATGGAGGGTGTTGTATTGTGACGGGGGGTGTTGTATTGGGACGAAAGGTGTTGTAATTCAGAGGCTCAGTTAGTGGTTATATGATTAGTAATTATGACGTAGTTAACACTGAGACAATGTGAGTCCTCGACGACAATACAGCTGCCGGAACGTTTTTCCTTTTGTGCAACGTTTGGTATGAAGGTTAAAGTTTTTTTTAACCATTTTTGTAAGAAAAAATAACATTTTCTTATTTTAGTGTAACGATTTTTGTTTATCAGATTTATGAATAACTTTTTTCTCATCAAGATTGCAAAGAACGCCTCAGACTTTGGTTAATAAATCTTGGCTCATATGTAAAAATATTAGAAAAGTAATAAGACTTTTATTTGGTACCAAGTAAATGTTTTTGTGTATATCATGAACGGTTATATTGATTTTATCTCATACTATTAATATATTTTTGATTGATTACTAAGAAGGATTATATATTATATCAAATTTTAATTAATAATAGCTACGTAAATTGAAAACTGAGATCACCAATAATTACCTTATCCAGTCAAGAATACCAAATTTGTTTAATAAAAATTTCCGATTTTGTTGTATTAAATTACGGATATCAGGTCTTTCATTTTTTATTCATGAATTTTCTACTCAAGAACAGAAATTTTTAATGCAGCCAAGGATCTTTGTAAGTTCTAATAAATGAAATGTTAAAATAATTTATTTATGCATATGATCCAGTGTTCTAACATCTAAGAGGAATTCAAAATGTTCTAACACCTGAGAAATTTAACACTAGATTGGGATCAAAAGTGTTCTAAAACCTGAGTGGAATTCAGAGTGATGTAATCAAAACTTGAGATTAAACAATAGTGGATAAGCAACACATGTATGGGCACCAAATGAATTAATCAACAACTGAGAAGTAACCAGAGTGGGATAATTAACATCTGGAAGACCCGGAGTGGGATAATTAACATCTGGATGACCCAGAGTGGGATAATTAACATCTGGATGACCCAGAATGGGATAATTAACATCTGGAAAACCCAGAGTGGGATAATTAACATCTGGAAGACCCAGAGTGGTATAATTAACACCTGGAAGACCCAGAGTGGGATAATTAACATCTGGAAGACCCAGAGTGGGATAATTTACATCTGGAAGACCCAGAGTGGGATAATTAACATCTGGAAGACCCAGAGTGGGATAATTAACATCTGGAAGACCCAGAGTAGGATAATTAACATCTGGATGACCCAGAGTGGGATAATTAACATCTGGAAGACCCAGAGTGGGATAATTAACATCTGGAAGACCCAGAGTGGGATAATTAACATCTGGAAGACCCAGAGTGGGATAATTAACATCTGGAAGACCCAGAGTAGGATAATTAACATCTGGATGACCCAGAGTGGGATAATTAACATCTGGAAGACCCAGATTGGGATAATTAACCTCTGGAAGACCCAGAATGGGATAATTAACCTCTGGAAGACTCTGAGTGGGATAATTAACATCTGGAAGACCCAGGGAGTGGAGGCTATCGTCAGAGATAGATCCATGGTATGGAATTTATTAAAAATTTTCTCGCTGGAGATAATTAACATTATCAATTTTTACCATAATGAGGTAATTACCACATTAAAGAAGAACCGGTGTTAACTACCCAAAATATTTCTCCCTCTCATGTGTTAGTTACCAAAATCTATATTTCGCCTCCTCATGTGTTAATTATTCCATCTGTATCTCCCTATCATGTGTTAATTATTCTACAAATGTCTCCCTTTAAGATGTTAATTATCCCACCTTCATCTTCCTTGTCGTTTGTTGATTTGTCCACCTATGTCTCTCATGTATTAATTACCCAAATTACGTCACATTTTCAGGTGTTAATTACCCCACTAATGTCTCCCTCACGGGTGTTGATTACCCTCATATATATTTTCCACTCTGGAATTAATTACCTTCTGTATGGGGTAATTAGCATCGGCGAGAGATGAAATGTTATTCTTTAAAGAACGCAACAGCCTGTTACGTCAAAGTGCATGAGGCTATTCGTACTCTGAATTAAAAAAGCCGAGTGCACTCTGATTTCGTCCAGAACCCTGGAAACACAAACCGAAACTGTCTCTATTTTCCGCTTGTAACAATTTGAAATAAAGTTGCTACATCTTGGCTTAACGTGTTTATGACGTATTAGAACGTTGTTACAACTTGCTATATTGGTTGTTATAACTGGTTAGGAGGTGTTAAAACTTGCTCGAACGTTGCACCAACGTCGTAGTTTCGGTGTGTGTTTGGTGGGAAGCCGCGTGTACTTTGATTTCAGGAAGCCGTGTAAAATTTGACAACTTTCAGAAGTCGTGTGGGTATTTTGACTTCGTGAGGTAGTGTGGGTACTTTGACTTCTTTCAAAAGTCGTGTTTACTCTGACTTCTAGAAACCGTTTATACTCTGACTTCAAGAGGCCGCGTATTCTTTAAGATTACTGAGGCGAAAACGAAATTCGACTTGCAAGAATAGCTGAAATATTCTTTAGTGTAAATCTACTACATTGGTCATTTTTGCAAGAAATTCTCATTAGGTTTTAAGTTATATTCCGCTATGGTTTGTCATACTAATGAACGGTAACAATAGGTAGAGTTATGCAGACGATGAGTCCAGCCCGTTCTCCTAAGGTTTCCCAACGTCAACAAAACCGTCAATTTAATGTCTCCTTTCCTAACCTACCAGAGGACCCACAACAGAAAACGGGACAGTACGTCACTTTCGCGAGCCGCTTCCATTTTCTAGTACAACCATTTTTTTTTTGCCTTATGTAACGCATACTATCGTAATACGAAGTTGTCTGTAAAAGGACAGGTTGATGAGTCACAGTAACGTGGCTTGAAGATATGAGAACTAAATCTACTAAATAATGGTCCAGGACGGACCGAAACGTCGTCGTCTCCTCATCTTCTGGTTTGTAGTTCAGCTCTTCAGTAAACACACAGAGATCACACTAACGTGATGCATCAAATGAACAATGGATGTTCTGGATGCTCCTGGACGCAGGTTCGAATCCTCGTCACGGCCCTTGTGGATTTGTTCTTCAGTAAAGTTAGTTGTTTTACCTTAACCTATCTTTAACTTTAATTAAACACTCGCTAACTAATCATAGCTTATGGACTTACTGCCAAATTATTAAAGTCGTTTTTACATTTTTATTCATACTTCGTTCTCATTTATTTACGCTATAAAATCTTTGAAACCATATTAACATTTTAAAGTACTACGTTGAAAGTACGCAAAAATATTGTATCCTGATCGCTAGTCAGTCACAGACACTTAAGTGCTACCGCCCTGGAAGCACCCGGAATAGAAAACCAAATGAAGGCATATGAATCTTGATAGTAATTTGCATAATATCTACCCTCCCACCCACCAATCCACCCCTCACACGGAGTCGTAAACTATATGTTCTCATCTGGAAGTTTGGCGTGTCGGTTCAGCCCTGATACAGATGAAACGGAAATTCTTTGCGTTGAGAAATTTGACTGTGATATGACTTCCCTATGAGATAACATAACAGGAGTTGGATAGTTTTAATGATACGTCACTTGCTAAAGGAAATTGTTGGACTTCTTCCGTTTGGGGCATAAATCAACAGCGCAAGATCGATCTTGCAGGATAATTTATCTTCCGATCAATGACGTCTGAGACGCCTTCTGATTCTCTTGGAAGCCAAGTAGCGGCCGTCTTTGATAAATCAGCGGTCGTGAGGCGAGCTCTCCAACCTGTCCCGATAACTCATATTGGGCCACAGCTCAAGATAACACCGCCAGTGATCTTGGACCATCGAACAGGGCCATCAAGGGCCGCGAAGTAGCCACGAAGGAGAGAGAACCGTATTGGGAGCAAGCCTGAATCCTATTTATCACGTTGAATTATGAATGGCTGTTGGTGAGTAACGAGAGATCTGATGATTGGTTGATGGCCCCCAGGGACGAGTCTGAGTGCTAATCTAAGAGAGAGATATAGTTATAGTGCATATAGGATGAGATGTCTAGTCTCTAGACTGATAATGGCGGTCAGGGGTTAGTTCCGTGGGCGTGCTGATGGTTAGTGGAGGCGGTGCCACTCTAGCTTCAGTGTGTTAGTGGGCTGGGCCAAGAGGATCTACCCAGACCACCCCCTTCCTCACTCCTTTAAGTCCAAGTTACCGTCAAACGCTTGCGTGTGCTACAACAACCTTTTAACGTAACAGAGAGCTCATCACCTGATTCGTTGGCGGTGTTGCTGACTGGCTGACGGTGCTGCTGATTGGCTAACGATGCTGCTGATTGGCGGATATTTATCTAGCTATTATTTTGAACATTATCATTCACACATTACCATTGCAAAAATACATATATTTGTCAAAATTTTCGCGTTTATCATGGCCGTTAGAGAGATCTAATGAGCTTATTGGTATTGACATATAAATAACATGAGGCAAAATTATTTTAGAATTGTCTGAGTTATATTTACAGCAGGTAAGAGCAGTGCTGCAGGTGTTGGAAGTGTTGAAGGTGCACAGAACACTGCGTTTTTATTATATCTTTTGTCGGTTACCCTCACGCACCACTACTGGCAGACGGAGGCTCCCTAACACTAACATGACCTGGCTTTTGAGTCTAAAAATAAAAAAAATCCGAACAGGTTCTAATCTGGAATTAATCTGACACCTGCTTGGCTTAGAAGCCATATTGGCGGCTGTTAAGCCAGCAGCCACAGAGTCAGCAGCAGCAGCGTCAGCACCAGCAGCGTCAGCAACAGAGTCAGCAACAACGCCAGTTACAGATAGAGGAGGAATAGGGGGGGGGGGGGTAGTAGAGGGGGCGTTAGCGGGCACCCCAAAAGAGATGGTCGGGTCTTACCGGCGGAAGAACGCGGCTTGGACTTTGGCTTGTCGTGGGCGAGTGCCTTGTTGAAGTGTGAGGAGGGCGGGTAGTAGGGGTTGGGGAAGTCTGCCCCCCCACCCAGGGAGCCCGGGTAGGGGGGATAGGAGGGCAGGAGGGGGGTGGCAGAGGCCTCCCCTCCGCCCCCACTAACCCCACCAGTGGAGGAAAAGCCCGCACCTTCACGCCCACTCTTGTTGGCACAGCCACCCAGGGGGGACAGCATGGGCGCACTCTTCAGATCGGAGCCGTCGCCGCCGCCCCCACCGCCGCCCATGGAGTATTCTGAGACGGGCCCGCCGCCGCCCGCGCCGCCCGCCATCGACTCATCCTTCGTGAAGGCCGATGCGAAGAGTCCCGAAGACGCATAGGAGTAGGAGTAGGAGTTGGCGTGCGGCGCCGGTGAAGTGGAGGAGTGGGCGTGGGCGTAGTGGTGCGGCTTGGAGAAGGGGGAGTGCCAGGAGGGGGAGGAGCCGCCCACCATGCTCTTGTCACCACCCAGCCACGGGTGGAGGGGCGAGGCGAAATGTGGGCGGAAGACCTGACCGGAACCCATCCGCGCTGTGGAGGGAGAGACACAGAACGTTAGTAACAAGGCCTCGTCACGTCATATACACGTATACTATACGTACACAGCGGCCGGTGACACGGTGACACATGGACTGCCAGCTGGACACTGGCACTACTGACACAGTGTCAAAGGGACTGCCAGCTGGACACTTACACATACACAGATACTTCTGATACAGTGACACAGGCGAAACTGAGTGACATCAGTGGTAAGAGATGCTCACCATCCGGAGACTCAGCTTCACCATCCGGAGACTCAGCTTCACCCTCCGGAGGCTCAGCTTCACCCTCCGGAGGCTCAGCTTCACCATCCGGGGGCTCAGCTTCACCATCCGGAGGTTCAGCTTCACCATCCGGGGGCTCAGCTTCACCATCCGGGGGCTCAGCTTCACCATCCGGGGGCTCAGCTTCACCATCCGGAGGCTCAACTTCACCATCATCATCTTCAGTCTCATCGTTGCAAGAAGAGGCTGTTATTTAACAAAATTTAACCGAACATATATATATATTAATTCCAGTTCCAAGATCACTGTCATTAATTATAATTATACTTATTGACGCACAACATAAAAGTAATACAATGGTATTAATTAAATTGATCAGAATGATGATTATTACTCCGGCGTCATAATTACTCCCCAGGACTATATGCGACTGAAAAGCGGATTAAGGCGTCCTGTAGTTGCCAGTTGCGTTGCTCCTGGGAGTATGGGTTCGAGTCACTTCTGGGGTGTGAATTTTCAGTCATATATATATATATATATATATATATATATATATATATATATATATATATATATATATGTGTGTGTATATATTAGAGAGAGAAAGAGAGACTTGCTGACATTACCAGTGGGTAAAATGACAGTAGCAAAAGGGAAGGTAGTGAGAGAGGTGCACTAAAGGCAGCACCAAATTGCTGCAGAAGGAGTCACACACAAGTAGATGTAGAAGCCGTAGCAGTAGATATGGTAGTTGTACCAGGAGGTAGATTAGTCAATGAGGTGGTGAAAGGTAGAGTCAGCATTGTAAATGTGGTAGTAGTAGGCATCCATCAGTCTCAGGAGACTGGTGTGGAAGAAATTCAATTAAGTCACAAAAATGGGTCATGGTAATATCCTGGACACTCAGAACTTAGAACATATAAACTTTAGCGCAGTGAGAAAGAGCAATACACATAATAAATTAATAATTCTCAGTCCGGAGTCGGTAAACAAGCACTTTCAGCCCAATTCTGAATATAATTAATGACAACGATGTTCGAGCTGAAGTCGAACAGGCTGTCGATTGATCATTAAGTGCACTGTGAGTCGAAGAAGAGGGTCGATAAACGCTTTGTAACCCCCGAGTGGATCAGAAAGAAAAATTCACTGAAGGCATTATATGTAAAAAAAACAAAATTCCACTCTATCATCTTTATTTAACATCAATAAATCTGAATTATCAAGCAGAATCATCGTTATTTTCACTGAAAAAAATCTGCATTTAGCGACTTGGAGAACAAGAACAAATTAATGCCATTAGCAGATGATGTAGCGTTCCATTAAATTCAATTAGTTCACGTCCTGCCTGAAGCTGTCATAAGTTACAATGCATGTAATTATATGATAACTTTATGAAATAAACGCAGCACTCGTCACCTGCATGACGGCTCCGAATGTTATCACTATGGCCGACCCTTTTAACAAAAATTGACGTTGCAATTTCTCGGTTTTCGTCCGGCAGTAAGTCAACCAAGGAATTTTTGTGGTGTGTGTGTGTGTGAGGCTGTGTATTTGCTATTTGTATTTAATAGTTGGGCCTGCAGAATTGAGCTATTAGCTCTTGGACCCCGCCTTTCTATCCGATGGTTGTCAGATGTACTGACTGTTTCTTTTCTATCATATCTTCTACAAATATTTCACACAAACTCGCACACACACACACACACACACACACACACACACACACACACACACACACACACACACACACACACACACACACACACAAGAGGACAACAGAGGACAACAGAAGCAGATACAACAGAGCTAGGAACGATTACATTAACATAAGACGAACATCGGAAAGGGACTATGAGAACGATATTGCAATCAAAGCGAAAAAACAACCTAAGTTACTACACAGTCATATAAGAAGAAAAATGTCGGTGAACGACCAAGTGACAAGACTAAGGAAGACAGAGGGGGCATATACTGAAAGTGACAAGGAAATCTGCGAGGCACTGAATGCCAGTTTCCATGGAGTGTTCACTACCGAGCCTGAGCAGCTCCCATTGTTGGAAGGGGTTACCCTAGATGAAAGACTATCAGATATAGAGGTGACAGCAGAGGAGGTAATGAAACAGTTGACAACTCTAGATGCAACTAAAGCAGTTGGACCAGACAAAGTATCACCGTGGATACTAAAAGAAGCAGCACAGGCCCTCAGCGTGCCTCTGGCAATGATCTTTAATGAGTCACTTATGTCAGGAGAATTGCCCAGTTGCTGGAAGAAGGCAAATGTCGTGCCGATCTTCAAGAAAGGAGATAGGGAGGAGGCACTTAACTACAGACCTGTATCACTGACAAGCATCCCCTGTAAAATACTGGAAAGAATAATTAGGCTGCGACTGGTTGCACACCTGGAGAACATTAGGTTTGTGAACAAACATCAACATGGGTTCTGGACAGGGAAATCGTGCTTAACAAACCTTCTGGAATTCTATGATAAAATAACGAGGATAAGACAGGACAGAGATGGTTGGGCAGACTGCATATTTCTGGACTGCCAAAAAGCCTTTGATACAGTACCGCACATGAGACTGCTGTTCAAGCTCGAGAGGCAGGCGGGGGTGGGGGGAAAGGTCCTAGAATGGATAAGGAACTACCTAACAGGAAGGAGCCAAAGAGTTACGGTAAGGGGCGAGAAGTCGGACTGGCGAACAGTAACAAGTGGAGTACCACAAGGATCGGTGCTGGGACCAATTCTATTTCTTGTATATGTTAACGACATGTTTACAGGCGTAGAGTCCTACATGTCGATGTTTGCGGATGATGCAAAGTTGATGAGAAGAGTTGTGACAGATGAGGATTGCAGGATCCTCCAAGAGGACCTGAACAGATTGCAGAGATGGTCAGAGAAATGGCTACTAGAATTCAACACGAGCAAATGTAAAGTTATGGAAATGGGACTAGGAGATAGGAGACCAAAGGGACAGTACACAATGAAGGGGAACAGCCTACCTGTAACGACGCGTGAAAGAGACCTGGGGGTGGACGTAACACCTAATCTATCTCCTGAGGCACATATTAATAGGATAACGACAGCAGCGTACTCTACACTGGCAAAAGTTAGAACATCATTCAGAAACCTAAGTAAGGAGGCATTTAGGGCGCTTTACACTGCCTACGTAAGGCCAGTCTTAGAGTATGCCGCCTCATCATGGAGTCCCCATCTGAAGAAGCATATAATGAAACTGGAAAAGGTTCAGAGGTTTGCAACGAGACTCGTCCCAGAGCTACGAGGGATGGGGTATGAAGAGCGCCTGAGGGAACTGTGCTTTACGACACTAGAAAGAAGAAGGGAGAGGGGGGACATGATAGGAACGTATAAGATACTCAGAGGAATTGACAGAGTGGACATAGACGAAATGTTCACACGGAATAGTAACAGAACGAGAGGACATGGATGGAAGCTTGAAACTCAGATGAGTCACAGAGATGTTAGGAAGTTTTCTTTTAGCGTGAGAGTAGTGGGGAAATGGAATGCACTTCAGGAACAGGTTGTGGAAGCAAATACTATTCATAATTTTAAAACCAGGTATGATAGGGAAATAGGACAGGAGTCATTGCTGTAAACAACCGATGCTCGAAAGGCGGGATCCAAGAGTCAATGCTCGATCCTGCAGACACAACTAGGTGAGTACACACACACACATACACACACACACTCATTCAAAGGTTGCAGCCCGAAGCAGCTATCTCACTTCCAGGTACCTATTTACTGCTAAGTGAACAGGGGACATCAAATTTAAAGAAGCTCTCCCTATTTATTTCTACCTCGACCGGGAATCGATCCCAGGCTCTTAGGACTACGACCCCAGAACATTATTCGCTCGGCTGCGAGGACCTGAGTGTCTGTGTGTGTGTGTGTGTCTATTCACCTAGTTCTACTCGCCTAATTGTGCTTTAGGATGTTGAGTTTCGGCTCTTTGGTCCCGCCTCTCAACTGTCAATCAACTGATGTATAGGTTCCTGAGTCTATTTAGCTCTATCATATCTACATTTGAAATTATGAATGGAGTCAGCATCCACCACATCACTTCCTAATGCATTCCATTTATTAACTGTTCTGAAAAAGTTCTGTCTAGTGTTGCTGTGGCTAAACCGGGTAATCAGTTTCCACCTGTGTCCCTTTGTGCGAGTACCACCCGTGGTAAATAATCGGTATTTATTATTATTTAACACCACCCGTGTTAAATAGTAATTGAATAATCTGAATTTATCTTCCCCTGTTATTCTCCTGAGAATTTTGCGTGTGGAAATAACCCCTTAGTTCTGGCACTAGTCTTTTGACATACCTCTCTATCTTCTCCTTAATTGGTATTACATATATGGTATACAGGGATCAAGTATACAAGATTATTTACACAAACTTCTAAAGGCAGTTCTGATGTTAGCCAGCTTTGCATACGCTGCTGATGATATATTCTTTTGATGTGGGCTTCAAGAGACAGGTTCGGCGTGAAACCAAATCCCAGATCTTTCTCTCTCTCTGTCCGAGACTGAGCTATTGGGTATTCATCTAGCCACTGAGTATGGCTAGATGTATGGAAATTTGAAACTATGTATGGAGTCAACCTCCACCTCTGTCTAATGCATTCCATTTGTTAACTACTCTGACAATAAAAAAGTCATGTGTATGTGTGTGTGTGTGGGTGTATGTGTGTGTGTGTTCTCACCTAGTTGTGCTCATCTAATTGTGCTGGCGGGGGTTGAGCGCTGGCTCTT